GGCGGCCAGCCTGGACTCAAAGGCTGGCCTGCAGAGGATGCTGTTTCCTGTGGCGCTTTTCCCGCTGCCTGTTCTGCCCACCAGGAGGATCCTCAGCAGCAGTGCTTCTGGGAGGAAGCCATCACGAAAAGTTAATATGTAAGAAATACTTTGTCAAGAGGAGGAGGAAACCAGAAGGGCAAGACCCAGAGGAACGCTCACCCTAGGCCAATTAGGAGGCCATCTGCTCCCATCACCTCACACCCACGTGTAGTGAAAAAAGGAGACTGGCACAAAAATCGTGCAATCAGTGAACCGAGCTGGTCGGAGTCCCAGACATTATTTCTTTGGGAACTGCTACGTTTTGCCACCCTTTCCAGGGCCTTCCCTGTGCTCAGGCCTGAGGCCCCCAGACTCTCTCAGGAGGCCCTGAGCTATTCATCCTTCWCTTCTGCTCCTCCCCTCCCTGCCTGGGCTCTGTTTTACAAGAGGCAGGGGAAGCTGGCCCTTGCTAAGGAGAGTATGCAAGCTAATAGCCTAATAGTTCAATGCCCTGGGAAAGGCCTTTGCTCCTGTTGGGGTGCACACAGTCTGTGCCTGGGGAGGCTGGCCCCCAGCTCTGTTGAGAAAAGCTCCACCCCGAGCTCCACCTGCTGCCTCCTTACCTGTGGGGGAGGCACCTTCTCTGTCCTTCCAGAGCCCTTCTGCTTTTTCCTAGAGAGGAAAACAGACAGGGATGGCTCATGCTGGAGTTGGATGTAACATCTGACAGAAAAACATCACATTTTATTGATGAGGACATGGAGGCAAAAAACGAAATCAAAACTTGCTGAGGTCACACACTATTTAACAGGTGCACTGACACTAAAACCTGCTGGCCCCAACAGGCAAGCACAGGCATGTCCTCTTCCTGTGGCCCATCTTTAGCGAGAGTGGCAAAAAAAAAAAAAAAAGACCAAACAAGTCAGTCAGGCGTTTTCTACTGAGCATGCAGCTGTCTGGGGGCCTGGTCTGCCTTTAGGGTCTCGGTGCTGCCACCCAAACTGAAGTTTGTCTGGCTGTTGTCCCCACTCAAGAAACTCATAAAAACAATTCTTTTCCGTTTCCATGGTGATGTAACACATCGGTGACTGCTTCCCTGATTTGCCCAGGACTGAGCAGAGTCCTCATCAAAGGTCTCTTTGTGCTGAAACTGGGGAAATTCCAGGCAAACCRGGAGGAGTTGTGCATCCAAGAAGGGGAGACTGTGGGGGTCCAAGTTGGGGGGAGGAATAGGGGGCATGTTTAGCATCGGAGGGAAAAGCTGGTGTATCAGCTCAGATCAGGGCTCCTGCCCTCAGCACAGTCTGGACCAGCAGCTGCCTCAGAGGTGTCTCTCCTCAACCCCCTC